TATATCTGTTGTAGCAATATTATGCACCTCATAACCACCAGAAATATACAAGTGGCTCCTGAAAATCAGCCAGATCTAATAAATATGGTACACAGCCTACCTGGATCCCTCTCTAAATTATACGCTTCTCTATGAAAAAAGATGGCAGAATCTAGTCTTCAAAGCTTTATTCACACAACAACATTAGAATGAAGCATATGGTCCCATTGGCACAGGTTCTGTTTATAATGACTTTGTCCAAACGTGTCTGTACAATATTTTTGGGATTGGGGAATTGCATGGTGATGTGTCACCATAATTAAAGGACACAACACATGCAACTATAACAAAATGGTTCTGTTTGTGAACATGAAAGTAATAAATAAATTTAGAATTGAGGGGGCATTTGCCATGCCCTTATCTTTTTAAAAGTAGAGACAATACAAGATAGAAAAATTTGACAGTTAAACTATCATCTGATATTATAGAAAATATGAACCAAGGGTATAATGAGAATTAACTAGATCTTATTCTAGGACAATTTCTTGTCTCTCTCCATAACAACATGTATGATATCATCTTTATAAAAAGCAGTGTCCTGCTGAAGCCATGCCATGACTAACCCATATCAGAATGGATTCAGTACTTGCTTTAAGGATTGTACTTTACTGGAGCTGGTGCTAATCTCAAAACCATGTCCGTCTACCCATTACAGAAGCATAAAATTGAAGGAAGATGATCAAATGTTCCAGATTATGTTACAATTTGCCCTTTACGCTTATAACAACTTTTTAAAGTATTGGATATATCAACATTTCAGTTCAAGTAAGCACAATGATGGATTTATAAATCTGCACATGTTTGTCTGCTTCACTGGCTAACATTCCCTGATACAAAGGTTACATTTATAAGCTCTTACAACCAGTGCTATGAATCTAGTACCTAATTTTGTTTTCTGCTGCTGTGCAGGATTTCATTGTTAATAAATATTCCAAACCAGGGCCAGCTCTACTGTCAGGCAGGGTGAGATAGCTACCCTAGGGAGTAGATGTCTGATTCATCAAAAGGCAGCAGATTAATACTTTTAAAATCTTTTATTGCTGTATTTTTGTTGCCATGGGATTTTCTGCCTCAGATGCCAAAATAATTTGGCTTTAAGTACTAAGCATCTTTACTTGGACTAATAAGGGGCACCATATGCTAATGCTGTTCCTCAGGCAGTAAAATATCTTTGGTTGGTCCTGATCCAAACTGGAGCTAAGTTCTGTAAGCTCATCTCTACACGACCTCTGGAACAAGGGAAACAATTCTCTATGCTGTTATGGTAACACATAGAAAGAGTTGAAGATGTAGGCTTTTTGTGCATTGTTGCTGAACTATGAATTACTACTACTGATTAGTCTTAAAGGAATGCAGTGAAACTTGAACTGGTTGCTTATGTTTCATGAGCAATTATTGTTATTTAATGATCATTTGTATACCCCCATTAGAAGACCAATTGTGCCTTGAAATCAATGGTAATTTGAAATAAATTTATTTTTATTTTATTCATTTATTTATTAGATTTCTATCCCGCCCTTTTAGACAAAGTCTACTCCAGGCGGGTTCCATCAAACATTATAAACTAAAACAGTTAAAAACAATTCAAAACAATAGTAATTAGTAATACTTCGTAGTGCTCAAATGGAAAACAGAAAATTATAATGAAATAAAGTCAAGTGTTGACAGGAGGGAAGGCCTGCCGAAAGAGCCAAGTTTTTAACTGGCTCTTTAAAACACCCAGCGAGGGAGCCAGACAGATCACTGATGGGAGATTATTCCAGAGCCAAGGGGCCACTGCCGAGAAGGCCCGGTTTCTTGTTCATTCTCTCCGGGCCTCTCTCGGCGTTAGGCCCCTCAACCGTCCCTCCTGGCTATGGCGAGTGATTCGGGTAGATCTAGGTGGGAGAAGGCGATCTGCCAGGTATCGAGGTCCTAAACCGTTTAGGGCTTTGTACGTCATCATTAATACTTTGAAGTCAATGCGGAAATGAATGGGCAGCCAATGCAAGGCAACCAGAGTGGGAGAGATGTGCTGGTATTTTCTCACCCCACTAAGGAGTCTGGCCACCGCATTCTGCACCATTTGAAGCTTCCGCATCAATTCCAAAGGTAGCCCCACGTAGAGCGCATTACAGTGGTCTAATCTCGAGATTACAAGCACATGGACGAGAGTGGTGAGAGCCCCGCCATCAAGATAGGGTCACAGCTGGGCAATCTGCCACAGATGGAAATAGGCGGAGTGGACCATGGACGCCACTTGAGTTTCCATGGTAAGCGCCAGGTCCAGATGTATCCCCAAGCTGCGCACCACACTCTTCGCGGTGAGAGTCACCCCCCAAAAGAAATGGAGTTTCCCAAACCGCCAATGGAGGGGGCACCCACCCTCAAGACCTCCGTCTTGTCCGGGTTCAACCTCAACCCATTCAGCTGCATCCATTGCAGCACAGCCTCCAGACAGCGCTGAAGAGACAGAACGGCATCCACTGAAGTAGGTGAAAAGGAGATGTAGAGCTGAGTGTCACCAGCGTACTGATGGCATGAAGCCCCACACCCCCTGAGGACCCCACCCAGCGGCCTCATATAGATGTTAAACAGCATTGGGGAGATGATCAACCCCTGTGGAACCCCACAGTTGAGACTCCATTGGAATGAAGCGCTCTCCCCAGGCTGTACTCTCTGGGGACGGTCCTCCAAGAAGGATCAGAACCAGGTGAGTGCCAGGCCACCAATTCCCAGCTCAGAGAGCCTCCCCTGGAGGCTACCGTGGTCGACAGTATCGAAGGCAGCTGAGATATCGAGGAGGACCAACAAGGACATTTTGCCCCAGTCAGCCTCCCTCAACAGGTCATCCATCAGTGCGACCAGTGCCATTTCTGTGCCATGGCGCGGCCTGAAGCCCGACTGGAACAGATCCAGCACATTGGTTTCGTCCAAAAGAGCCTAAAGCTGATCAGCCACCACCCTCTCCACCACTTTGCTAAGGAAAGAAATATACATTCCCTATGTTTCTAGCAGTTTCTCTGATGTTCTGTGCTAAATAATCTTCACAGTAGCCCTTGCAAGGCAATTTTGGAGAGCCTACTATGCAGAACTAATGGAAATTGCAGTCTAGTCACACCAAGATGGCTCACTTTACCTCCTTCCGCATTCCACTCACTGCTGTAACCTCATACCAACAAAAATTATACATAAAATAGTACATTACCATCCATGAAAATAATTCCCTGCCCACTCTATTGTTTCTGATTTTTGCAATGCTAGGTTCTTTCCCAGTTTGTCAGACTAAATTGCAGCATAAGACGCAAAGGATAAAATCCAGGGTGAAGTTGCAAATGTCATGCTGTTAGAATTTGTCTGAACCTTCCATATCAGTTCTGTTTTGGTTATATATTTATTTACTACTAGAGGTTTCATAATACAGTATAGTAATGGCTTTTTTTTGCTAAATTTTCTGTAGTTGAGCAAAAAGTAAAAAATTTAAAAAGTAGGTATTGCCTGCTTTTGCACAAATATTCCATGTTCTTAAAGGACAATAGATGGATGTATATATTCCTGTCAAACATCTCACTATTGTGTGTGGAGGGTTTTTTTCCTCTGTAGAAAGAGGAAAATGCAGATGTGCTAATTCACTGGCTTGAGAATCAGGCCCATTAACTCTTAAAGTTTCAATTTGCTACATAGTCTATATTCTTTCTGCATGAGAACAGCATTTTTCAAAAGGTAGTTCTTGACTATGAATAAATAACTAGACCAAATAACATGACCAAAAACTGCAGGCAAGAATTTCAAAAACGGCACAGTAACATGCAACATGCGGAAGGCAAAAATAATGAATTGTGCTTATAAAGAGGCATAATAATGATTTATTCACAAATATTTTAGCCACTCATTAAAAAGATTGTCTAGATAGAGAAAGCAAGAAACATCACAAAAATATTGAAGGCTACATTAGAAACCTTTGCATATATGTGTTTTGCTACATCTCTCTGCATATTTTTAGTATCTCTGTGTTCAGTGATATGTTGGATGACTACCAAGGTTTGGCTTTCCTTCATTAGAATGATTTTGCTCTGCAATTCTGACAGAGAGTATACATTCAGATGTTGGGAAATGTCACACAGAAGTTAACATTACGAATTTTAGGGGAAAGTGAAACAGTTCAAGAAAATCTGGAGGAAAAAACAGAAGCTCAAGAACACTCATTTAGAAAGGTGATGCCATTAGTTTATCTTAAAGTTTGCAGATAGCAGTAGTTTTATGTATAAACTATTGCTGTATGAACATCAAAATATAATATTGGTGATGAAAGGTGATGGCATAACAAGAGGCAGAATTTCATACCCCCAAAAGAGTTTTGTTGGAAGCTTCAAATTTTCAAATGAAAACGAATATCAAGAATACTGAAAGAAGCCTCGTAGGCATTATTAGCACCATTCACACATTACACAGAAGCAAATGAAGGTTTATGATTTGTGCGTTTCCAAATATTGGTTTCATTCACACATTACATTTTTATGGGGCATTTAAAAACAACATAGGTGTACCTAAAATGGAAATTACATTTGTATTGAAACATTGAGTCTCTGATAATGAAGTAGCCAGCTAATTGCCTATTTCATGGTAAACGGCCAGAATCCTATTAGTGCTCAAGTAAGATTTGGGACTAATTGTGACCAATTGATAAGGTGGTGGTGCATGTTGTAGTAAGGTGCCTGGTCAATGTCGGATTGTGATGTACCCCAGCAGTCTGTCAGTTAGCCACAATTAACCTTATGTTAACATGAAAAGGATTCTGGCCAATGAGTAGAAATTTGCCACCTAATACCATGACAAGAAATACTGTAGAGCAGAATGACCTGCAGGTGTGCAATTCTTTTGTTGCTGAACTCCTGGAAGTGTTTTTAAGGTTATGGCATTAGGAATCTAGCTACAGGATATCGTATAAACCATTTTTTATATAAAAGAAAGAAAGAAAGAAAAAACAGCAAACACATCTTTACTTTTCCTCTGAAGACAGTCGGAAAATAGTCTCTCCCAAGTATTCTAGCCTCTCCCTTTGTTCAAGATCCTGGTACAAGCCTTTAGGAACTTTGTTGAGGCCATACAGCAATCCATACAAACAGCCAGCAATGCTTCCAGTAGCTGCACTCTCCCCTGTAAGATGAAGCACAAATGAGCATTTCGTTTTATTACAAAGCCATCTAGCTGGTCATGGAAATCGTGTGCTATCCATCAGCAACCAGCTGGACATGACAGTTGTTGGAATTTCCACTTGTAATTGTTGTGACATGACTCTAGGGAGTTTGGGAATTGTAATTCTAAAGTTTTCATCAGCTAATTAAGTAGAATCTCTATTCTGCAGCCTTGCCAAGCAGCATCTGTGGACAAATCATAGCCCTGAAGCAAAAGACGTTGCTGTGGCCCACTCTCTTGTCACTCTGAGTCAGCCTATAAACTACCTAAAGTAACTCTCTTGAGATTTTTTCTTGAAAGTCACTCAATAACATTTTCTAACTTCTAGTAAGATTACATCACTACCTAACATTTTTTCACTGCTCTTGCTCTTTCCATATAGCCCCCTCAAAAAGCTGCAAGGAAGAAAAAAGAAAGAAACATGTGAACAGAACATTAATTTAGTCATAACACTATCTATTATTCATGTTTGCTTTCTGAGAAGGAATGCAACATTAAAAATTGTGGGGGTATTTTCTTTAAATTTTGTTTTTTTGGTGTTCTATTTGGGCATAGTAAAAATTTGGTAAATAAAGAAAGGCTTCAAAATTTTAAAAAGCTAAAAGTAGAACCTTTTAATTGTGACCATTAGGAGCTCAGAGAAAGACACATATAAAATATTTGAGGGGATATCCCCCCCCAATTGAAGAAAATATATAACAAGGAAACATGATTTTTCTCTACACCTTTTTTATATTATTACATACAGATTGGCCTGCTAAATACCTCTTTGACATGACTCAAAACATACACAACAAGAACAGTAAAGGGCCCTCCAAATAAGTCTAATTCCCTCAGGAATACCCATATGCCTCTCAAGCCAGAAAGAGGCTTTAGAGATACAGTTTAATTAGACCTAAGAGCAATTTCATGTTGCTGAGCAGAGAACCGAGGCAGTCTTTTCAGGCCATAGAAATTAGTCTTCCAAGGAATCCCAAGCTTAAGACCAGTCACCAAAAAACAAGTAAACTGCTATTTTGCATAATACTGGAAGTGAGAAAAACTCGTACTCTAATAATGAGAGGCTTTATGAATTTCCCTCTTCCAGACATGGACCATCTCTAGCCTCTGTTTATGGCCTAAGTTAACAATTCAGAGGCATCAAAATGACCTGTGAGGAAATATCAGATCTGTAATTCTGACACTGCCTTCCCTCCTCCTATTATGTCTCTCCCCCACCCCCATTTTTAAAATCCCTTGTTCATTTGAATCATTTGTTTTCGTAAATCTGTATGTGTGGCTCAAACATTGGGGTGGGGGTGGGGGGACAGAGGGTCCCATGTCCTGTTGAACCTGCAGAGTTACTTTTGAGGGCATTAAGCCGGTTTGGGACGTCTAAGACTTATTGGTGATATTCTTTGGCTGTATTCAAAAATAATAAAAGGCTTGAAATAAGTGTTCGGAAAGGCTCCTCACTACAGAACTTTCTGGCAGCTTATTTTGATTCCTATCTCCATTAAAGCATCCTTGCTGTTGATGACAGGTGAAGGCCATGTACAGTTTTTTTGTGAATAACAAAGCTTTTGTTACTTTTTGTGGCTTTTTCTCCCTGTGATAGTACAATGGCCACCTCCTTTATGGAAAAAGGCAATGCCTCTTACTTGCCACATAAGAGAAAGAAATCAACAAGAGGTGAACCTTTTCCCCCACGGGGCCCCAACAATGATATGTGCACACTTGCTGACTCAGAAAGACATTAAGCACTTTAGATGCAAGATATATTAAAGAAATGAAGTCATGGATCAGGTTGATTTATGAGTCACTTCAGACCAGCCACACTGACATAATCCCATCTGCTGTGCACGTTATAGAAATCGTCAATGTTTCTAAATAGTATGGAAGAACCGTTAGTTTACTCACCGCCATGGAACATGGCTCGGTTGCACAGCTCTGTCCAGTCACCACCACATCCTAAGATAGCATCATATGCAATCATAGGAGCATCGTGTCCTCTCCTTCCACCACGACCTTCAGAGCTCCACCGTCTATAAGTCTGAATATATAATTAACAAGCTTAGTTGGGTGAACTGGGTAGTAAGGCAAACTAATAACACTAGTATGGTAGGATCCTCCCACAGGGCCAGTATCTGCTGATTCATTCATCCATGGTCTGAAAATACTAAACAAAAAAACCTCAGAAATATGTGATTACATGTATTTCCAGGTGATATTTATCAGAACTGGCCACTAGAGAGAGCCAGAAATGATAAAATGTATAGTGATTGATACTGCTGCGGTTTTTTGGCATCCACAGGGAAGGGGGCTTGGAATTGTTCTCCTGTGGATACCTCAGTCCTACTGTATATGCATATGCAGGTGTATTTCTTGCCTTGTATTCAGCAAGGCAGAAAAAAATGAGGTAAACTGCAGCTTGTGCTTACATATTTATGTATTCCTTCTTTTTAGAATCAAACTTTGTTTTTTGGTTTTTTCCTTCAGTATTTGGATTATTGAAGCTTAAATAAGATGGAAAACAGCCTTGGATCATAGAGTACTATGTCAAGGCACAGGGCTGGCCTAAAAAAATTTCTGTCTGAGGCAGAGAAAATGGCCATCAAATTCAGAGGGAATTTGTCAAAGCCAGACAACATACGTACAGTATTTGATGTATGAAGGAGAAAATCTAGTAAGCACTTTCCCAACTTCCCACGGTAAAAAATACAATATCCATAAACCAATTTTCAAAAACAGCCTCATAGGGCCCCAAAAGTGGAATTTGAGGTAGCTGGCTCACTTTGTCTAATATCTGTTGAGGCAAATTATTAGACGTCTTCTCGGGGCTTTTATGAAATAAGGATTCAATATGTCTTCACCAGATTCTCCGATATCATAATGATATATGATTTGCTTCTCTAACATTACCATGATGCCAACTGGAACTAGGAATGTAGGACACATTTGTCGAGTTTTTGTAGAAACTTGCCAGATTTACATGTACTGAATTTATGGGAGAAGCACAATGCATGTACTTCCCAAACTCTGCAATGTTCAGGATTTTGCAATCTAGTTTGCAACTTTAAAAATGCATATAAAATACATATATTCTGGGAAAAAAATACACATCATCTGCTGTGGCAATTTTTCAGAAATAAAACATTTGTGATTGCAAACCATGAAAGGTCTTAAGAATACTAAAAAGCCATGTAAAAGCTGTTGGAGGCTGCTTTCCCAGAACTGCCAACAGTGGTAAAGTCATATCAGTGATACGCTTTTTAGTAATTAAAGATTCTCCCCGCTCATCAGCTGGCCCCCAAATAGCTTCCGTAGAATGAAAGGGATCCCAATGGAGCTTTGGGCGCTTTTGGAGGAGGATGGCAATTTTTAATTTCTGAAAAACTGCTGTGGTTAATCACATCATCAGCCTTTCGCGACACAAATTTTCACAACAGGATCTCAGCTAAAGAGTGTATATTAGAGTGATCTGTACAAAAAATACAGATTAATTTCCAAGCATGCTTGGGTGGGGGATGATTCTTTTTTTTCTGCGCTGCAAACCAATACAAACACAAATGAAGTTATAGTTAGAAAAATTTAGCAACACCAAAATTTTGGGTAACTACTACCTATGCCACTCTTATGGTCTCTGGTGATGGCAGGCAGAGTATCAACAGTGGCCCTCACCACAATATGTGTGTGTAGAACTCCTCCTGCACTGCTACTAATTAAATAGCAACCCTTGCCATTATGAGGGGCCAGCTTCCCACATGTGGTGGGAGATTTCTACAATTTCTGGGTTTTTAAAAAGTAGGTGCAATCAATTTTGAATGAATCTCCATGTAACAGAATGATTGTGTAATCATTTGTAATTTAGTCTGGAATACTACTAGTGAAGCATAAAAAAGCAAGAAAGGTGTTTACGCCTTGATCACTCTGATCATGCAGCATTTTCACATTGATGCCGTACCCTGAAGAACACTGCGGTAAAAGCTATTCGTACAATTAAAGTGAGCTGGATGCTGGCTGGCTTTCAGTTATCACAGGTACCCTGTGGAGTTAGAGCCATAATGAAGACTGGCATTTCAGCCTCTGAGCTGTTTACCTGGCCCCCACCTGGAATTCAAAGAACAGTTCTGGTATATTGTTCAAGCCAGATCACCATATCTAGCACTGATTTCATCTACCATTTGATCCAGTGGCCAGGATTGCTCAGTCTGCTCTTACAACAGAAATTTTATATTCGTCATCGTCGTTTAGTTATGTCCGACTCTTAGTGACCCCATGGACCAGAGCACACCAGGCCCTCCTATCTTCCACTGCCTCCTGGAGTTGTGTCAAATTCATGTTGGTTGCTTCGCAGACACTGTCCAACCATCTCGTCCTCTGTCGTCCCCTTCTCCTCTTGCCTTCACACTTTCCTAACATCAAGGTCTTTTCTAAGGAGTCTTCTGTTCTCATGAGATGGCCAAAGTATTGGAGCCTCAGCTTCAGCATCTGTCCTTCCAGGGAGCACTCAGGGTTGATTTCCTTTAGAATTGGTACGTTTGTTCTCCTTGCAGTCCAGGGCACTCTCAAGAGCCTCCTCCAGCACCACAATTCAAAGGCATCAATTCTTTGGCGGTCAGCTTTCTTTATGGTCCAGCTCTCACTTCCCTACATCACTACAGGAAAAACCATAGCTTTGACTACTCAGACTTTTGTTGGCAAGGTGATGTCTCTGCTTTTTAAGATGCTGTCAAGGTTTGTCATCACTTTCCTCCCAAGAAGCAGGGGTCTTTTAATTTCGTGGCTGCTGCCACCATCTGCAGTGATCATGGAGCCCAAGAAAGTAAAATCTGTCACTGCCTCCATATCTTCCCCTTCTATTTCCCAGGAGGTGATGGGACCAGTGACCATGACCTTAGTTTTTTTGACGTTGAGTTTTAGGCCATTTTTTGCACTCTCCTCTTTCACCCTCTTACAAGGTTCTTTAATTCCTCCTCACTTTCTGCCATCAGAGTGGCATCATCTGCATATCGGAGGTTGTTGATATTTCTTCCGGCAATCTTAATTCCGTTTTGGGATTCCTCCAATCCAGCCTTCCGCATGGTGTATTCTGCATATAAGTTAAATAAG